ATATTATCACATTTAAAAAAAAATAGAAGTGAAGATCAATATTCTTAGATTGAACAACAAGGAGTTTCTGGCATAATATTTTTAATTGTCCTCTCTTTTTGTCCTTTTAAAAAGGCAGGTAATGTCCGTAATAATCAGAATGATCTGGATTTGTTTAAATTTCGTTGGCTGATTCCTTTATCTGCTCTTCAGGTTCGACTGGGTAATACAGCAGGTGACTTGATTTTACTAAACATACAATTTTTAAATAGTCTCTATTTTTAACATTTTGAAAGTTTGTCAACCATGAATATATTGTGTTAAAGTTTTCATTGCTTCTTTCATAAATAAATATTGCACTGATGAAAAGTTCAGTGTATCAAGCAGGCTATTCACCACAAGATTGGAATAGTTTTAAATGCCACAGAATTTATAGAAAGAATTCACTCTAGTTAATTTTAAAGCACTTTTAGTACTTTCATGCATTAGGCAGTAAGCCTATTCTTACTTCCTCTGCTGATCTAAAAGCTTTTTCCACTATAAGGTACTTTTGGTCCGTGATGAAATACTTCTGACAAATGGAACAGAAAAGGCAATCTTTGCTGATTGCTCCTCTTTCCTGCTAATTTCCCATGCTCATGCTACTTTTTGCAGGGTTGGATGGTTTTTGGAAACACCAAAAAAGGCAGCAGTGGGAGGCTGCAGAGGGAAAAAGGAAGCGATTGCTGAGAGCCACTACATCCTAATTTTATATTAATTTGAATATGAATCCTGTGAGTAGAATTCGACTCAAGAAAGTCTTATCAACAACAACAACAAAAGAATCTCAGAGTTCCCAAAAGGAGACAGGGAGAAGAAAGGATGGCTTTATTTTATAGGAATTTTTTTTAAAAAACCAAATAACAACAATCCTTGTTTTTTCTGATCAATCACTAAATGTGTTGGTGTGAATCTCCCCTAAAACAATGTCAAAACAATACTTTGAATTATGAATTGTTTCTAGTAACAAATAATATAGCTAGTACAGTTGAAATGCTAAAGCATGTATAAAGTATTTTTCATTCTTGCCTTTGATCAATTATAAATTAATCACAGAATAAATTGTAAACACAAAATACAGTGCTTTACTGCAGGTACGCACAGATGTTTTATACTTCTAAATTTAAGAAAAATTAACCTTAAGAAGAATTCACAATTTAAGAATGACCAGGTAGTTCTCCATTAGCAATTACTCATTCAGTAACTAACAATCCTCAAAATTTCTGGCTGCTCCAGCAGCCTTTCTGGTTACGTGATCGTGATCCGGGTGCTTGGCAATTTTGAGGACTAGTTGCAAGGCCCTTCATTCAATACCCCCTTAACTCTGAATGGTTGCTGAACAAATGCATGTAACGCAGGATTACTTGTACTTAGCAGAAAAGCCAGATCCCAGTTTCATTCACGGTTTGAATTTGGGAAGACGATATTTATTTTTAAAAATCCAATACCTTCAGCAAAATCCTTATTGCAAGAAAAAAAAAAAAACAATTGACATGATCTCTTGGATGAACTTGAAGCCCTAATTATATTCTCATATATGAAATTCTTTGGCTAGAAAGTTGTAGGTATCATTAAATGTTTGTAAGAAAGTGTCTTTCTTCCCACAGGAACAGAAAACAGCAGTATTTGGGAACTGATTCATACAAAGTCAGAATTAGAAGGAAGACCTGAAACAACCTTCCAGTTGTGCAGCAGGTAGAAGCACAACTTGATTCCTAGTTTCTAAGTGGATTGTTTCTACTTTCTTCTTTTTAAACAATATAATAAATTAATATTAATAAATTAATCTCCATAAATAGTATACTATTTATTTATTCATTCATTCACGTAAGAGTCCCATATACATCTATCCTGTTTGGTCAAAGTCAGATGAAAGATTCTTATGATGCTATTCAGAGAATTCTCAAAAGTGAACCAAAAGAGAAGTGCTAATTTGGGGGATATGCAAAAGACTAACCTGGACCATATGCCTAATTTTGTTACCTAGAATGGAAATGTTGCTTTGGGCAACAAAGGAATCATTATATACAAAGAGAATCAGGCCTTGATATCTAATATTATCAGTAACTTAATGTTTTGAATTTTTTTAAAAACCACTTTTTCATTGACTTAATTACTGTTTTTTTCTCCACAACAGTGACTATGAAAGCAAGACCAACATAGTCAAAGTGATTCGTTCAATTCTAAGAGAAAACTTCAGACGTCAAATAAAATGCGACTCGCCCTTTGAGAAATCATATAAAAATCGCCTCATACCACATAAGAATCGAATCCCAGTTTCAGCAAAATTGGGTAAGAAAATATTTTCTTAATATGTCAACATTTTTGTATATTAATCTGTGGCAAGATTAATCAACAGGAGAGCTTAGTTACATTCCACTGAAAGTGTTGGAGAAGCAAAACAAGATAATCTATCCCATAGAATGCCTACCAAAATACTTATTTAGAATTCTGTGGGGTGATACTTTTTCCCTTGCCATGCTTACTGTGGCAACTGTTATGGGAAATTGGCCACAGTGTTCCAAATGTGCCAACGGGTTCAAATTAATTAACAGGAAACAATTTTTAACCTAATATAATAAAGAAATAATATGTATTTTCCATCTTGAAATAATTTAAGGAAGACATATTTACAAGCCAGTGAAATCTTTAGATTACATTAGTTGAGCTTGATCCAGTTATGCTAGGTCAATACTCCTTTATAACTGCTCTATCTACAACAATGGGAAGATATCAACACATTTATACAGACAATCCTTGTTTACCAAGCGCTTGTGCAGCAGCCATTTAAAATTAAGGTGCTTGAGAAACACTTATGCCAGGTTTTCAAGAATTGTGGCAATTGCCACATCCCTGAGGTCCCATGACTAATTGCAGTTTGAGTGCCTGGCAATCAACATGCATTTACAACAGTTGCAGCTTACCATGATTGCGTGATCACTGTTTGTGACCTTCATATCCAAATTCTGACGGCAAAGTCAGTGGGGAAGCCCCTTGGAAGTAGCAAGTCAGTCGTGTGATAATATTGTGCTTAATGATCCACTATGATTCGCTTGATGACCACAGCCAGAACTTATACTGTAAGCCTGTGCAGTTATGTAAAATTTCACTTTACTTGCATTGCTTAGCAATCGAATTGCTGGTCCAATTGTGTGTTCTGTGAGAACTTCCTATAATGGGACAAATATTCTCGCTGAAAAGGTTAAAAATTCAAAGTAAAGGATTTTGTGGTTTTAAAAATCATTTAAAATTATTCCATTGCCTGTTTTCTTTGACTATGTAGTGCCTGGCTCAAATTTCTCCTTTAGCAACTGTACAACAATGACTAGGAAACTTCAGGTGATTTCAGGAGTTCCATTATCCTTCATGCTCTTCTTCAAAGACCAGAGTTATTTTCAGTGACAGTAAGCCCTTTTGAGATGACAGAAACATGGTTGCCCATGGATGCTTTCCAGGCATTTTCCAGGCTATACCTCTCACCTCGCTTGACTGTTTTTCCCCCTATCATTTTAATTGAAAAGCAATCAATGGAAGGCTTGTGTCATGCTACAAAGTAAAATGCTTCCCTAGGACCCTTCTTTAGTCTGCAATAACAATGATGCTAGAAAGTTTTAATTTAGAACCTATTCTGGAAAAGAGTTCATCCAACTAGAAAAAGCCAAGACTAAGCTGGTGAAAAGCATCATAGGGGGCCTAGGAGGATGGAGGAGCAGCCATATTTGTTCTCACAAAATATGCAAATATCAGTACGCAATCATGTTTTCCTTATTGTCAAACATGCTAGTCTTAAAAGATTGCCTGCCCTCACTCTCTCTCTCTCTCTCTCACTCACTCACTCTCACTTAATGGCATCAATCATAATGTTTAAATGGGTTACCACAGTTGTTCCATACAGAAACTTGATGGGTGTATTTTTACATTGGCAGCTTCTTCCAGATCACTGAAATTACTGAAGACTTCTCCCAGTAATGAATGGAACAGCAGCACAAGAAAAGGAAATGAACCGGATTCTGATGAATGCAGTTTGAGCAGCAGTACACCAAGTAGCAGCTGCCAAACTACTGACAGTATACTGGAATCTAAAAACTCCTCTCCCATGAAGAGTTTACAGAGCTGTGCATCTGATTTGTCAAATAGTCCTGTAAAGGAGTCTGATATTCTAAGTGATGAGGAAGATAATTTCCAGCAACTTCTGAAAAAAGGCAATCCCACGAAAGACATAGAAATCCAGTTCCAGCAGTTGCAGATTTCTGAGATTCAGAACGGTGATGTGGAGATGGGGTATCCTCCTGAGATAGAGAACGGAGGCGGGCAGAGAGCAGAACAGCCTAAACTAGTTCGCGCTCACTTTTGCCCTATTAAACGAAAAGTGAACAGCACAAGACATGCCAAAGGAACCTTGCGGGCAATGCAAGAACAGCATCTGTCGCTTGACAATCAGCCTGATTCTCCGGGTTTTGACCTGAATTCAATTTTAGAAAGAGAATTCAGTGTGCAAAGTTTGACATCAGTGGTTAATGAGGATTGCTTTTACGAAGCAGGAGAGAGACATGGAAAATCCTAGCTATTTTGATTTGCATCTTGATAAAACTGCTTACTCTCAGTTTAATGCACTACTGGGTTTTCCCACAAAAGTAGTTGTAAAGGCTTAAGTTATTTTAATTTATTCCAAAAGAAAAAAGTTTACCTTGAATTTGCAAGTTCTGTAAATTAATCTCTTCCGCTTTCAGTAATAGGTAACATTTAAACATTTTTGAAAACATGGGAAGGCAAGATGTTCATTTTTTGACCTGAGTCCAGTTAGTTTTCATTGAGCATTTAAGAGCATGTTAGTTTTTGCTTTATTTAAAGTCAAATTATTTCAGTACAGAGTAACAAAGTCCTCTGTACATTGTACTAAAATGTAAATGGTTGTTTATATTTGATTTTTATATATGTTTATATATGTTTGTACATATAAAAAGCTTGTACTGTAATCTTATGGTATTTTTATTTTCTCTATAAGCTTGTACAGTAAAATGTTAATTGAAATAGGTAGATTTGTGAGTGTTTTATTCTTGGGGGGAGGGTGTTGGTTACTTTTCAGTTATTTTACATTTCGTCTTGGGACTTGATTGCACTTAGAAGATAAGCAAAGTAGTATGACTTGAGTTTTAAGAAAAATGATCCTTATTCTCATTTATAAATTTCATGTACAATTTTGGTTAAAACCGAAGAATATATACAAAGTCAAATTTATTTCAGTCCAATCCAAAAACCCGTTAAGACTTTGTGGTTGCTTAATTCTAGGAAAGAAAATAGTAATCTTTGTCAGTCCATTTGAAGTTGGATTCCTTTTTCTTCCTTTTCAGTTCCTCTCTGTAGTTATATGCAAAAAGATCTGGATCTTCATCACACATTTTCCTGTAGACATTACAAAGGTTTTTAAACTGAAATAAGGACAGCTGAGTTGGATATAGAGTTGGGTCAACATCTGCCTCCATGAGCAGATGTTTAGTTTTTTCAAGGCGGTCAGCTTCTGGAAATAAAATCCTGAAAGAAAACAATATTGGTAATCAACAAGGAACACCCGTTGATTTTACTTCAGATTTCTCAATTCAAATAATATATTCCACAGCCGCACTATGACTCATGGGCCTCTACAGAAGAGGTGATATTGGGGAAAATGATAAAAGGAGCACTGCAACATAAGCTGTATCTCATTTGTATGTGTATTGTGATCTCATCTACATGAAGGGTGAAGTTGCACTGCAGTGCTTTGTTCTGTATTCTGCTAAAACAGTTGGATTCTGGGAATGCTTTTGCTATCACTAATAGCAAGAATAACATTAATGCAGTGGTACTCTGAAGACGAGCACATGGCATGCCTTTCACGAGGTTACTGCAAAAGGATGAAAATAACAGGTACCCTCATGCTCCAACTGCTGCACAACTAAGGCAGAGAAATAAGTGATGTCTTCAGAGGCAGATGCCACGAGCAACCTGCTCTGCCCTGCCTTTTATCAAATTTATCATTTTTGAAATCAAATTTCTAGGTTAGATTTCCTAAACATTAGAATTTGAATATAGACCTTTTAACATTCATATTCCAGTGTTTTTTTTTAACTAGGCAAAGTGTTAATACATGTTGTAAGTCCATGTATAATATGCCATAGGTTAAATAATAAATATCAAATTTCTGATTTAACAAAAAACAGATTCCTTCCTGACTGTAAGGAACTAAGAAGCGACTATTTCAGAGAAGGAAACCTGTCACAAACCTCATTCAGAGAAACCTATTTCACAAACCTATTTCAGAGAAGGAAACATGTCACAAACCTCATTCATAACATTGTTCTCTTGTCTCCAGTAAGGCAGTTTTTTTTTTTTTTACTTTGTGTTTACAAGGGTTTGCTGAGGATTGTCCCTGACCTCTCAATATATATGGAAAAGGCAACATTTCATATCAGATTTTATGCACCAGCATGTTGCTTCAACTTGGCCCTTGGTGAAAAGGAACTAAGGCAATATAAATAATACCTTGGAATTTTTCTTGTAATGTCTTCCATTCTATGACTAGGTACAAAGTAGACAGTAACATCTAGATTTAATTTAGTCATGTTTGCATTGCCTCAATATTTTCCAGTTGTTAACCTCATAACACAGATGTTTAAGTGAATCTGGCTTCCTCACTGACTTTACTTGTCAGAAGGTTGCAAAAGATAAGCCCAGGACGCTATAACCATCATAAATACAGGCCAATTACCAAGCGTCTGAATTTTCATCATGTGTCCATCAGGATGCTATGACGGCCCTAAGTTGAAGTACTGTCATAAATCACTTTTTTCAGTGTCATTGTAACTTTGAACGTTCATCAAACAAATTGTTAGTCAAGGGCTACCTCTACTATAAAAATCCACCTGAGCAGGTAAATATATTACAACTGTGTTCAAGGCTTAGAGCTATGAAGAGAAATAAAAAACAGTGCAATACAAATGAGGAAATTCCTTGAAGGAATCACATATGTAAGTGTGCTGCCTACCCCTGCAATTCTTGAAAACAAATCTTTATACTCATTTTCTTACACTCATTTTCTTACCTTGCACCATGATGACAATGTTTTCTTCTGTACTGGAAAATACTTTGAACAACTTTTTCCACCATCTTAAATGGCTGTTTTATTTTGGGTTCCACTAGTGGTGTAAAATGGACAAGTGTCACGTCTACCTGAGATTAATATATATTAAAATTATTATACTTATAGCAGTAAGGAGATATATTTTATTATAAACTTATATACATAAATGTCATTTAAAGGAGTAATTGCAATTCTGTTGACCAATAAATCGGGCTTCAAGTTCACAATGTGGACCTCCTGCTGTTTCATAACAAAATAAAATAATGCTTTCAGGAAAATGGGAACAGATCAGTAAGAGAAACAGACATTATAAAAATACTATTAAAACGAATTAATTTTGCTGTCAATTTTTCTAAATTACAATTTCGGGATCTGTGATGCAAAAGTCCAACTAGACTTTTAGATTATATAATTTGATGTATCCCTTTGCTGCTGTCATCTAATGTTTATAGATTTTTTTGCCTAGATCTTGTAGCCATTCTACAGTAAACTCTTGTAGAATAGAAGAATTTCTCTATTATGGGAAAAGGGAATCCTGTTTCTCATTCAATTTTCTTTTACAATTAAAACAAACCAACAAAACCTTAAGAATGTTTTTAATTGTTTTCTATTTTTTTCTTTCTATTTTCTTCTTCCTTTCTCTCTTTCATTTATGTATGTGTTGTTTGTTTGTTTTCTCATTCAATTTTCTTCTGCATGATCGAAAATGGTCCTCAAAATTCAGCAAAAAGCAGCAAAATTCTGAGTAGAATTATGAATTAGTGACTTTTCTCCCTGATCATCATACTGTACGTTTACATGAAAATAAAAATAGGCTGAAATAAATATGGCATCCTCAAAGAAGACCTGCATTTTTTTTAATCCTCTGGAAATCCAAAACACATCTTACTCTTTACTCCATTACAGAGTCTGAGTTCTTAGAACACTCAGAAAGCTGCAATGTTACTATGGAAACCAATATAGGAAATTACTGCTCACTTGTAATTGGTTGCTTTGAAATTACTGACATTATATCCTATTTTTTAGTCATGCATATTAACAAGTTCCATTTCAACACACTGATTTTTGATAATCATAGTAGCTCTGCCATTTAATTTTGCTAACAGTTTTAGCAGAGAATAAATGTTTACTGCAAACACAAAATCAGGTTCACTTAACTGAGAAAAAAACCTTGTACCTTCTGTCAAACTGTTTTAAAAATTAATGCCAATAAAATCCTGAATATTGTTAGGTGCTGTAATATGCATGTAAAATAAATAATTAAGTCTGAATTTTGCAGTGTGTTACAAAAAAAAATAATAACCTTAAGAAGTTAGAAGGGACTTTCAAAGAAGAAATGGCAGACTGAAGATAGGTCCGTTAAAAGGAATCAGTCACGGCAGATGACCGCAGCAGAATGAAGAGTAGGCTCTCTGTAATTCCTCTCCAGATAAGGAGAGGACATGACATTGCTCACAAGTCCAAAGAGCTGCTCTTTGCAGGAAGATTGCAAGATAGTGGTTTCCAGTGGACTTAGAGCTCTGGGAGGGAGGAACAGCCATCTTTCTGCTCAAACCACGGTGCCTTCGAATGGACACTCGGGTCACATACCAATCACTTTTGGAAATCGACTGTTAACTGCTTTTCAGCTCTTGGGAACCCTTGGATCCAAAAGTTTGACAGCAGTAGTGAATTTCCTTCAATTGCTAGTTAGAAGTTATTTTAAATACAAATTTAAGTGCTTAAAAATTCTTTTGAAATGAACAGCGGAACTTATGAGGGAAGCGTAATATTCAAACTTGTAGGCAGTTATCTACAGAAAATTATCCAAGTTGCACTGAGTTATCTGCAAAAACAAAACAAAAAAACGAGAAAAACTATGTGTCTATGTATATAATGTATTCACATTGCTTTCTAGATAAAAAAAAATTATACACACACATTCATGTTCTTTTTATGTAAAAAACAGAAAAAAATATGATAGTTCTATAGCATAAACAAATTCAAATTCAGTGTTTCCCAAGTCCTATGCTCCTACAGACCCACTAACCAGCTTTGTTACTTCATTTTACATCCATTCTGCCCACTTTTTACATGAAGCTGATCTCTTCAACATTGTTGTAATCTTCATCCTTAAATAAATATTTAATCTCATTGTATGAGGTGCAATGACAATAAACTAAACTAAGAATCTGTAGGATGGATCCAACCCTTTCCAAGTAGAAACCCATTTAAACAGTTGGACCCTAACCCTAAAGAATCTGTACTTCCCAGAGATGTTCTGGAAGGTCCCATGGTTCTAAACCAGTGGTCGCCAACTGGTGATTTGGGCACTTCCCCCAAAGCAATTAATCCAGGCTGCGCAGGAACACAAGGCTGCACCACCCACATGGCCCGCCCACCTACTGGCCCCCACTCTTCAGCTAAGTGCAAACCTTACCTTGAGTAGAACTACACGAGCTGGAACTGAAAGGTAAGATCAATGGCGGGGGAGGGAAATCCACCCCGGGGTGGCTTGCTGACGTTGGTGGGAAAGTCGGTCCCATATTCCAGAGCTGCAGTAGTCACAGGACTGGCCCTTTGGTCATCCCGGAGCAGCTCCTCCAGTCCATGGCAGGCCGGTGCACCCAGCTGGAGGAGCAGCTGTTCCCGGATGACCAAAGGGCCAGTCCTGCAGCTCTGGAATATGGGACCAACTTTCCCAACAACGTCAGCAAGCCATCATCAGTCAAAATTAATATTAGTGGTCTGCGGGATTTAAAATTATGAGTTTGGTGGTTCCTGAGATCCAAAAGGTTGGCGACCTCTGTTCTAACCCATATTTTGGAGGTACAGCATAGGATTAAAAAAAAAGGGGGGGGCTGTATCACTTCCTCTTTAGGTTTGCTAATAGAAGCCATCACTGGCTTCTGCTCCTCAGATTCCTGATGGTTTGGTAAATTTAATACCTTCCTGTGGCAGGAATTGTTTCTTTCATAATAATACACAGAGAAAGAATAATATAAGTCAATTATTGAAGCCACTACACTCTTATCTTTAGCTTTAAGCACTGTTTAAACTTATATTAGTTCCTAGTTTCATTATATATTAAAGTTTAATGAAGTTAAACAGAAACTGAAACATTTTTCATCTTTAAGTCTGGTTTTGGGTTAAATATTATGATTATTACAGCTGGCAGAAGATGAATTTACAATTTACCATAGGAATATAGAACCCATCACCTCTCCAGGGTGATTGTCTTATGAGTAAAATGGGATTTTTTGCATCAAGTAGAGATTTTAATTTGCTAGTTTTAATCCTCTGCATATTGTTACTTGGTGTTGGCTTGCATTTTGTTATCAACATTTAGATAACAGTCTCATATTTTTCAGATATCTACCTCTGAAATCAGAGACAATTTAAAAAAGTGCTATATAGCTTTTCCTCTCACCTTTTTCCAGGGTCATTGTGGAACTAGGAAATTCTGACCTTCACAATTCCTCTTCAGAGACATGGTGAATGGCAAAGGGGGATCAGAGATAGAAGAACAAGCCATCTCAATACTGTTAACACAAAACACTTAAGTCCCAGGAATATTTATTCAAAGTTAAATACCTAATGTATCAGGGAGGAAGGCTGATCTGATTAAAGTGAAGATGGCTTTACAGATCTGTGTTATAGTCCACTGGGGAAACTTAAATCGTTTTCCCCAGAAGCTGTAAGTTCTCTTGATTATGGCAAACAATTTTGAATCAACATGGAAAAGAACATTCTTGTAATTACTGGTTCTTGAAAGAAGTTATTTTGATCACGGGGAACGACTGAGGGATAACTGCTCTCAATCTGCAAGCAATAGACTTGGAAGATCAATTGGATCAATCTGTCCTGCTCAGGAATGTATTTTTGAATAGTCAAGCATCTTTCTTTAGAGAACAAGATATTTAAATAATTATGTTCAACTGTACTAACTTTAGCATGTTTTTATGTTCTTCCAGCAGCTAAGACTGTGCCCTTATGATGAAAGACTCAATGAATCTAGAGTCCATGTTTGTTTACTGCACCTTTTATAAGGATTCAAGGACCCTTTTATAACTCCCTATTTGATGAAATATCCAGGCAATTTTGACATGGCTATTCCTGAGATCTTTGACATTGAATGTCAATGTTGAATGTGACAAAACTTTGTTATACTGCCTGAATATAATTTTACTAGCCCGATATCCATGCTTCGCTACCAAACTATGTGATCGGGCTTAGTTTTTGGGGAGGAAAATAGGGGGGGGGGAAATGCTGCCTCTGCCTACCAGCATCCATCGGTATTCATCTGGTTAGCATCCTGTCAGTGTGTGACAGAGTTGAGGGCTGTTTGGAAACTGAAACAGTATTTGCTGTGTGAGCAAGGAGACAGCAAGGAGCCTGGGTGTGGCTTAGCTCAAGTACTAAAGCTGCTTGGTGCTGTGAAACTGAAACTCCTCTCCCCTGCTTGTATTTTGGATTTGGAACAGATTTCTTTTCAGGTGGGGAGGGGGAGTAGAACTCCTTAGCATCAGAACGGGTTAATAATAATATACGAAATACTAATGATCTGATGGTCATTTTGAAAAATCATTTCTGTGAGCACCTAGAAGCCATATATGTCAAATTTCAAATTTGTAGGCTTTACAGTTCTGGAGATTTTGTGATGATGTGTGAGTGGTATTTCACTTATATATATATAGATTACAATTAGGAACTGTCTCATTTAGCAACCATTCAGTTACAATGGTGATGGCAAAAGAAGGTGTGACCAATCCTCCTGTTTAAAACCTTTGCAGACCTGATACAGTTGCAATTTCACTTAGCAACCGCTTTGATTAATGACCAAGCTGCCAGTGCTAGTTGAAGTAGTTAAATAAGATCTATGCTGGCTATAAACCTGATTATATTTCGATCACTTCAGTGACGGAGTTATAGTTTTACCTTTGTATTTTGTTTGAAGTAGAAATTGTTTAATTTGTGACCTTAATTAAAAAAACATAACACAAAATACTTCAATTCTATGAAATTATATTCTTTAAAAAAATTTTTTTTAAACCCCAAGTACAAGTTAAGTCTTATCCAGTTCAATTAGATCTGCTTCCGGACAATTCTC